GATTTCCTCGTTGGAAAACGAGGGGCACCTAGCAACAGGGAACACTTTTGGTTTATTCGCAATTCTGTTAAATCTAAATTGTTCAACATTCTCATTTTCATTTTCCTCACCCATCTGAAATTCAGAATTATCTAAACACTTCTTTTCATAGGGGAATAGCTAGAAATGGAACTGTTTTTCCGAAGTAAATAATTATCTACACAACTAGAATCAGTTATAGCACAAAAATTGGAATCATTCATTTCATTAGTCTTCTCTTGGTCTATATTTCTGCTGTTGACTAAGTGGCCATTCAAATCCAGAATCTTTGCTGTCAGACCACATACTCTCTGAACTATAATCCTCTTGAATCGTCGAAAGTCATTTCCTCAGTAAAACTACTCCTGACCATGTTTTGTTCCCTAAATGAGTTTGACGTATGTGAGACTTGAGTTGAGCCGGTCCTCTGTGAGTTCTTCAATATTTCGTATTACGATACTGAAGTGAGAAACCATCAATTCATTTTTGTCCCCCCTAGATTACTTGGATTGATTGACATGATTGAGCTCCTCAACATTAGAATTTAAAAAAATTTTGTCAGACCATTAGATTGAGGATGTTGTGGAGCTGTTGATATAACCAATCTATGTAGAACCAATATAAAAAACCTGGAAGCACAAGACGGCACGCATGCATGATCCGAACCCAGAACCTTAGTTCTCTATCGAGCGCTTGGCAGTTGAACCACTGAACCCGCATTCAAATATGCTCATGTCTAATTTCAACCAACCCACATTATTAGACGATATCCATTATCTTCAGTGGACAGCTATCTCACATCTTAAACGGCGTAACTCCGCAGGTCACAGCACCTCACTGGAGTCCAGAGAATTACCTCTAGAAGCTAGTCACCAGTGGTCACCTGATGGGAGACGGTCGCACAATATTGTGGGTTAATTGAGATTAAATATTAACACAGTCGGATGCCGGCTCAATAGTTCGAAAACGTTCCACGGTGAATATGTAACAGCTTAGATTGGTTGGTTAAGAGTCGACCCCAAACAACCAAGTATATGCCAAAACGGTATTGCTCAAGTATTCATTCACTTCCTTATTTTTTATAAGCGTTATATTCCCTATTATCTTATATTGAATGTTGAGAGCCTTTGTTTGTCTGAACAGATAATCCCACGCTCCACTGTGACTGCGCTAAGATCGAAATAAAGACCTATTCACTACTTGTCTGGTTTCTTCTGTCAATAGCACGAGGGTTACCTATAGGCGTGAAAAATACTTTTCCACGATTAACAGGATGACGGTCAAAGACTTTTAATAGGTTTTTTGTGCGGTATTTCGTGCAAATAAGACGTGTGGTTTCTCGATTTATCCAAAAATCAATTTTAGGCCACCAACACGTCTGACGAGCGGCTGTTGTCATTTGACGTGCTCCCAAATGGCTTTGATGAAGGTCGACTAAAACATTAGACCCATATTTAGGAGGATTGATTAATTCACCATTAAAACATAAAATACCTTCGAGAAGTGATGATACGTCTTCGCTCATTTTGTAAAACTTAGAAAACCTACGTTTACACTAGACATTCCGACAAATTTTCACTGCATTTATTACAGTTCCAACTGCTTTTCTCATATCAATAAGTGGCGACTGAACTAACTTACAATCACTGTCGTTAAGTGGTCCTTAGAAATATGAATAGCTTGACAGAAAAGTCTTCACTTGGAGTATGCTTTTAGCCACTTGGTGCTCACTAGTTATATCGTGGTCAGAATACCAACCTCCCTACAGAGGATGGAATACAATGTAATTAAACGTCCTTTCTTCCAAACGAGAACCAGTGGGCGAACAATGGCACAGAAGTCTGTTTTTAAAAAATACAGCAAGTTCATTTACTGGAACAACAATACTGACACAATCTCAACTACGACTGTCCAAACAACAATAATGAGAACAAATTTCCCTATAATTTCACTGGACATTCTCATTGAATCTGGATCCTAACAACAAGCTGTAGATCCATCATGACACAACCACGAACGAGGTTATAGAATTATGGTCTAGTTCGGCATTAAGTGCACTTGTCTTTACTACTAGAATAATAGACCTAATCCTGAAACTGCAGTTTTGTCGTAATGTGGCTGCCTGTTCTATGAGATTTTATAAGGAAGTCACATCATTGTTTATATTAACTCATCCTACCGCGGCAGTCAGCAGTACGGTGCTTAGCGCTTCTGAAGAACACATTTGGCTAGAGATTAAACAACATATTTAACATGAAAAGCAAAAAGCTACATCTGGTGACCATGCCCGCATGAATGAGCCGCTCCGTACGTTACATGTTCCCGCGTTCATCATCCTTGACATTTTTTATGATTTTAAGTGCTCGATATGAACCTTCTTATTCATCGTATGTTCGGTTTCAGGTCTAGTAGAGTTGAGAACCAATACCACTACAAGGTCACACTATTATCATGCTGGCGCCAGAAAATGGGATGTCTACACCACTTATCCAGACACGATTCAACACCATCAAAACCGTTATTAACCTGATTTATAGCATTCTGGAAAATATAAACTTGAATGGTAATACAGCAACTCTCCCTACAATCCATTTCGATTATGGTTAATTCTTGTCAAGCCTTTTTATTCACATACTTAACAGAAAATGTTATTCGAAGAGTAACAATTCACCTATTTCTTTGTACTATCATGACCCCTACGCACATGTCCTTATCTAGCCAAAATGTTAACCGCCTAAATATGGTTCGACGAGTTATTCTCCTTTCCCATGAATATATGTACTTGAAGCTTATTATTAGCCTTTGCCTTGCCTCTCTGTGCCTTGATTCGGTTTGACTATAAAATTGCTTCTGTATTCGCTCGCTCACACACATTCACTTCTCTGCGCAAAATCCGCCCGATGTGTTTGTAGCTTTGTGACCTGTGTTATCCGCTGATAAACTGTAGTCGCCGCTTCTTATTGCCTTCTGACTTCGAACACCGTTGGTATTCATATGGTAACCATTATCATGCTGATTTACTAACAAAGCTAAGCCATTAAAGTAGGAATTTGTAACTGTCACATCAATGGTAGTTACTCGCCTACGCCTGTTACTCCTAATGGAGTATGGGACGCCGACCAGCATTCTCCAACCCATTCTGTCCTGGGCCTTCTTTTCTAGTTCTATCCAATTCTTGTTCTTTTTCTCATATCTATCTCCATTTCCAGGCGTAATGTGTTCTTCGGTCTTCCTCTTTTCATTTGGCCTCGAGGATTCCATGTGAGTGCTTTCCTAGTGAAGCAGTTGGGTGCTTTCCTCAATGTGTGTCCTATCCACTTCCAACGCTTCTTCCTAATTTCTTCCTCCGCTGTAATCTGGTTTTTTCTCTCCCACAGTTGGTTGTTGCTAATAGTGTCTGGCCAACGGATCCGAAGTATTTTGCGTAGACGATTGTTAATAAACACCTGTATCTTCTGTATGATGGCTTTTGTAGTTCTCCAGGTTTCCGTCCCATACAGTAGAACTGTCTTGACATTTGTATTGAAAATCCTGACCTTGTTGTTGGTTGACAGACAGTTTAGTTGAGTTCCAGATGTTCTTCTGTTGTAGATATGCTACTCTTGCTTTGCCAATCCGCGCTTTCACATCTGCATCAGATCCACCGTGTTCATCAACGATGCTGCCCAGATATGTAAAGGTTTTTACATCTTCCGAATCTTCTCCGTCAAGTGTGATTGAATTGTTGCATGCTGTGTTGCATCGGATATTCTCGCTTTTCCCTTTGTGTATGTTATAGGCAGAGTTATCATTTATTGTGATCTTAGTAAAATACTTAGACCTTCAGAATTTATTTAGTATATTCTCATTTCCTTAGGCAGAATAACTTTATTGTAATAGCCTAGTATTTAGCGCTTTGCACCCTTATAGCAATGTATGTGATTCTTTTGTACTTCACCAAACAGAACTGTTCAAGTTTCGGAAATATAAGTATGCACCCGCGTAGAACCTTGGAAAACTTGAACGTTCAAGATTCGTGTGTCTTCTCTAAGTATCCGTTTGCGCTGACTGGTTAAGGAATAGTCAATCAGCGTACCTCAACACAATCCTGCACGGAACACCCTTTAATCTAATCTGTGTCCCGCTAACACATATCTTCTCTTTTATTCAGATCCAAATACGGCAGTTTTACTGTTCGCTCCAGCTAGTTCTCAGATGTAACTGTAGGGCCACCAGAACGGTAACACTAATGCCTACCTTTCCAGTAAAAAATCTTGTAAAATTAAAATCAGCCGGTGAAACACAATTAAAAGACACAATTCAATGGTATTGAAAAGCTTCGTGTAGTCAACTGTAGATTGGATTTATTTCAAAAACAGACTCATTTCGGGTTCAAAATCTGTAGAGGAGAACCATAAGTTCTTTCAAGGTTACTGCCAACTAGTATGAAATCCTGAGGGCTTTCTAGGCCTCTTGCTTACAGTTAGCTAACATTGATCCGCGAAAGGATATTGCAGCTCCTGCTAAATCACTTAATATGATCTAAAGACCACATCAGAAACGTGATTAGTAAGATTTGATAGTCTCAAAGAGATCTGGAACGCAATACTTTTGTAATGTAACTCATTTACTAAGTACAGGTTCGTTCACACGGCTCCGAGTCACGCCCTGTGTGTGAGGGCTAGTGATATACAGCTGTCCTAGCCGTGGTGTGTGGGGAAAATCTCTAAAATACGACGTAGTGGTTGATAGTCGAACCACCTAACCGCCAAGCCACCCCATCAGTATTTCGACTACATAGAGTGACTGATCATTCCTCACAGTTTTGTCGTTGTCTTTAAGGGTTCCCTCTAACCTCTACGACAAATTGTCTTCGTACAGATATGTACTTTCATACTTGTAAAGCGATTTGAATCTCCCACATACCTTATGTCCAATTGTTTTTCGGTTTAAATTATATTGTGAATTAAATTTACTTTTTCCCTACTGTATATTATTCCTCTAGGCATAGATAACGGTGATTGGAGACCACATTTAGCTATGATATTGGCTGGTCACTCATCACAATCCGACTTATCACTTTTGGCCTTGGAACGTCTTGGTGATGGTTTACTATCACGAAAACATGTTTATGCTGCACACTTATGCTATTTACTGATGAATTCATTGAAAAATATTGATGATAAACAGAAAGAATTTCGTTTACCTGGTAAAATCTGGTTAATTGGTGTCCCTCCCACTTATATTACCAGTGGTAGTGATGTTGTCAACAATACTTCAGATGGATTCCAGGAGGATAATATTGCGTCAAATCATACTTTATCCCCATTGTTCGCTACTTCAGAAGCTATTCAACTCACTGAAATATATGAATATTCTATCCAATTGGCTAACCGTAAATTTCATCTTCGTCAATTAATGGTATGTTTAGTTTTCTTTAATGTTATCTATTAACTAGAAATCTAACGATAGATCATATTGGTGAAAATACTTAATTTTCTACCGTCAGGTCCTTGGTTTGAAGCCCACGTAGTTGTCAAATTTGGTTTGAATATTTGAGTAGTTTCATTAACTTTTATGTATATACATACTAAGTTTTGCTTAATGCCATCTACATAAAGCTTGTTGGTAAATAAATAGTATGAAGTAAAAATTGAAATTTCATCTAAGTGTTTAAATTTTACGATTATACTGAGATCAACAAGAAGACTCAAACAACCAATATAAATGAGTTAAAATTGATCTCGTTGCACATGCCAGCGACTATCTGGATCCAGTAACTAAGTGAATAACGGGTTGTGCATCTGAAGCGAAATGTACTGGGTTCGAGTCTCGATGTGAGTATCAACATTAGAGTCCAGGTACATTCAGTTGATGAGTCTCAAGTAGAATGAAGGACACTTCCTGGCTTTCACTTCTAGCCACAATTCCAACTCTAAATAAAATACTTCTATCTTAATGGTAATATCGATGCGTTCCGCATAAGATACATATATGCTAAAATAAATAGATTGATTGAAGCCCATAACATTAATGAGAAGATTCAAACAACCAATACATATGGTTTAAGTAATTAGGAAGTTTGAATTTTATTCAACGAATTTTGTTCGGTTAACAGATCCACCATAAAAGATAAAACCATAATAATATGTAAAAAGGAAATAGATGGGAAGTCATTTTATTAACATCAAACTAACATTAAGTACCATTGATCTTACTATTAATGAAAATCTCATCAGAAAATTACAGCGAAATCGCCACTAACTTCTTTTCTAATTCGTGTTTGATAACTTTTCGACTCACTACATTGTACCGGATCTGAGACCGCCACCACTATCGTTGCGAATCCAACGTAACCATCCTCTATTCAGTGGTACCGACTCATCAATTGTCCATCAAGCCTTACAGTTCGCAAATAATGCCCGTTGTGAAAACCTCTCGGACGAAATGTGTAAAACGTGGTCATGACTGAAGGCGCCTTCTTAAAATGGTAATAACACTTACTAACACTTCACAAGTTATCATGTCTGTAATAGAAAAAAATATACAAGTTGTCACACCTCAACATTACGTACACCGAATGTGAACTACTCTTAGGAGATAACAATGATTAAACATGAAATCATTGACTAATAGCTAAAAGCCAAAAGGTTCCATCGGAAATCGAATAGGGAACTGCACGCATAGTAGTGTTGCACATCGATTTTGTTTATAACCTGTTTTGCGTTCCTGTCGATCCCCACTGGGGGGGGCAGATTAACGCAAATCACCACTATCCTCTTCATCATAAATTAATTTATCTTTTACGTTACAATATGACTGCCAACACCTACAAAAGCATCTAGATGTACAGGCTTTCCTATATAGTGCGAGATATATGTCATACTTACCGACACTACTTGCCAACTGATTGAAAGTGGTCTAAGTTGCTTGTGTATATCGTCGTATAGGAAGACTGTATTACCCACCTAATCAATATTATCAGTAAACTCTTACTTCAGAGTCTTTGTATAAACATTGTCAAATAAGTGGTTCATTAAGGCTAAAACGTCCGATTCCCAACTAGGTTGAGTCCCACTTTGGATCTAGTATTATTATTCCTCACTCACTCACTCACTCACTCACTCACTCACTCACTCACTCACTCACTCACTCACTCACTCACTCACTCACTCACTCACTCACTCACTCACTCACTCACTCACTCACTCACTCACTCACTCACTCATATACCTACTTGGAGTGTGACTCCGTAGTCAAATACATGAATTTGTACACCCAGTAAATAAGTTTTTTTTTTAAAGTCTTCCATTTTAAAATTGACACTTAATATCATGTTTATTGAAGTTTTTCACCTACAATTTTCTTTTCAAGCCTTTTCGTCTTGTTTACGCTATACGACTTTTGGACGCTGGTTTTATCGAGAAAGCTTATCGTTATTTAACAGCTATCGGGAATGAGATTCTCACTGAAATTGATGAAACAGCACATCAACTTAAGCTTCAATCAGTATATAACAATGATAATAATAATACATATGTTGATCCATTATTGTACAGTTTAATTAGTAATTGTCTACGATTAGCTGAACCATTACAATATCATCCAGAAATTGAAAGTTTCGATATATTACAATTGCCAACTAACAATCAAATAATGGAAGATTATGGTTTTGGATTTCAATTTAAAAATCCATCGTATTCTATGCCTGTACAAAATAAAAATAAAAATTGGATTGAACGATTAAATCAAATCTTTAATCAAATGAATCAAAAGGTATTAAGTGTATTTTGTTGTTGTTGTTGTTTGTTACTTGGACTCCATGTGTTTGTGTTGAACCATGAAATCAAATGAAGATTTAAATTTAGTTGGAAGTATCCAGTAAGAAACTGTGTTTGATTTAGGTTTATGCTTAGTAGTTGATGTAAGTTCAAATCCCACAGGAAGTATTAGTTCCCTCAAATTTCAGGTATATCTTGTTGACACTGATTATTGGGCATATAGTAGCTAGTTTCAGACTACCTAATTGCAATCCGCGTGATTATCGAAACTACTGTTAAGAGATAACATAGCCCGAAATAGTTCTTAATGACTTGGACCCATTCACTTTTTGTCTTCCCTTTGATCTTAAGTTTCTAAATTACATTTTAAATTTTCTTTATTTCATTAATTCATATTTTCGTCTCGAATTAGATCTTCTATGCTCAGTTTTTCCATTACCACTGATTCTGTTACGATTATCTACACTATTGTGGGATTCTCTCTGAGAATTTTATTTCACTGTACCAATGGAATATGAAAACGTGAAGTGATGTATACATGTACCAGGTTCTGTGTTGTGTGTGATTGATGAGCACCGACTTTCACGAAAACTCGGCCAAGTAGGGTTTCTTGTTGACTATTTCCAACCATCTAGAATCTGAACGTAATGTACGAGATGTTGAGTTACTCACACTAATGACCATATTACAACTTGGTGGATAGAATTCGATCAACACCAGATACTGCACGTTACAACATAACTGCTCAGTTCAAGTTACCTCCATACCACATTACTATCATTGATAATACAGTTATTTTGAATTATTTAATATATATATCTTGTTAAATTCATCATATTTCAATTGAAGTCATGAACCGATCAATATTAAACCACCATTAAAAACCTAGAAGCACTAGACGGCCATTTCGTTCTAGTATGGGACTCCTCATCAGCGCGCATTCATGATCCTACACAAGAGATTCGAAAGCAGGACTTTCAGTATTGTGCTCAAACACTTAATCTCTAGACCACTGAGCTGGTATTTTATTATTATGTTGTGAAAACTTTAGGTATATTGGTTCCAGGTTTTGGGTTGTTTATAACTTGCTCTCTATATTGCTTATGTTTCAAATTCTAATTTCTACTAATTACAGTAACTTGTGTATATATAATATGTAATATTAAGTTGAACTGTTGATTGTTTATTTATATTTTCAGATCAATCATCCACGCTACAAAACATCTGTAGAAAAACCAAAAGAAAATCCCAGTAGTGATGCTAATGAAGGTATGAAAACAGAATATTCCGATCATAATGATTCTAATGATCCTCCTCCTCCTCCTCATCATCATCATCAATCATCACTACCACCTCAACAACAACAACAACGTCAGTATCATCAATTTAATAAAGAATCAAATTATAAATCATCTGTTGAATATAGATCTAATGTTCAAACACATGACTCTTCTTTATTTTTATCAACGGATAATAGAGATCAACGTAAAGTTAATATTTTTAATTCAAATAGAAACGATAACAATTATATTCCTCATGAAGTCAGTAATAATAATAATAATAATAATAATAATAAGGAACCAAAAACCATCTCGAATTATTCTTCTATACGAAATAATAAAAATGATCAATTTGTAGATCCTATTCAAAAGATGAATTCATCTAATCAATCATCTATTCATCAAAGACAAGTTAGTACTTACCTTTTTTCTATAATAGAAATTCAATGTCACCTATAATCTAAAGCGATTGGTCCCTTTTATAAATTTTGATAGAACAATGAGAAGACGGAGTTGATCTGAAAAATGTGTAACGCAAGGCTGTCCACTTTCTCCATTTTTGTTTAACTTCATCATAGACCTATTGATGGAAATAACATTCTTGTCTACTGAATTCTCGGGTATTGATCTCCTTCCAGGAGGTCCAATTATCGACTTAGAATACGCAGATGATATAGTCCTGTTTGGTGAAGACGCTGATAAAATGCCGAGTTTTTGGTAGCACTAAGCAACGATGCCAGAATGTTTGGAATGCGCTTCTCTTCTTCTAAATGCAAGTTGTTGCTTCAGGACTGGTCTGCGTCAACACCTGAACTAAGGATAGGGAGTGAAGTAGTCGAACGCGTTGACAACTTCACTTATCTTGGAAGTCTGATCAGCTCTAATGTGTTGGTGTCTGACGAAATCTCAGCACGGATCCGAAAAGCTCGCTTGGCTTTTGCCAACTTACGTCACCTATGGCGAAGGCGAGATATCCGTCTATCAATAAAAGGACGAGTATACTGCGCGGCAGTCCGTTCTGTTCTACTTTACGACTGAGAAACGTGGCCATCAATAGTAGAGGATACTCGTAAGCTACTAGTATTTGACCACAGATGCCTTAGAAATATTGCTGGCGTCTGCTGGGATCACCGAGTAAGTAATAGTGAGGTGAGGCGTGGGTATTAGGGAATGATGGTAAATCAGTTGATGAGGTTGTTAATCTTCATCGACTGAGATGGTTGGGCCACGTGTTACGTATGCCTGAACACCGATTACCGCGACGTGCAATGCTAACCGGTATTGGAGATGGTTGTAAGAAAGTTAGGGGCGGCCAAACCAAAACTTGGCATCAGTGCTTGAAGTCACTAACTTCTAGTCTGAGCCATGTTGGTAGATGCAGACTACTTTGTTGGGGTCCGCCTTAATCAGGACTCAGTAGCTAAGTGGATAACGCGATGGCGTTTGAAGCAAACGGTACTGAGTTCGAGTCTCAGGGTGAACATCAACTCTGAGATGCACGTACATCCAGCTGACGAGTCCCAAACAGGACGAAACGCGCGTCCTGGATTCCACTGCTAGCCACTATCCATCTTTGCTTATAATGCTTGTAAATTAAGGCAATATCGGGGCATACGCACAGTATGCACATATGCCAATAAAGACTGATCAGTTTCAGTCCTGAAACATCAATGGGAAGATTCAAGTAAAACAATACCAAGTGAATTAAACTTCACCCCATTGCACAAGCAAGTGGCTATCAAGACTCAGTAGCTAAGTGGATAACGCGATGGCGTTTAAAGCGAACGGTACTGAGTTCGAGTCTCAGGATCCAGTATCCTGAAGGAATAAATCACGTATGAACCAATCGTTGGTCACCGGCTACCATGGGAATGCATCTCTTTACGATGCTCCACTGCCTTGTGGATCAGACCTTCAGGTCGAAGGCTCGGGGAGTGGCCCCCTGAGAAAACCACCAGCCTCGGTTCGGGCACCCATATCAAATGAGATTTGTGTGGCGCATATGTATTTGGTGCCTCCTTGTACCAATATCTTTGTGTTAAAATAAATAAATAAATAAAAATCAAGGTGAAGAATTAAAATTATGATTTATAATTGATGATTAAGGTTAAGAATTAGATTTATGGTTTTTATCACGAATTGATCTCATCTATAATACCAAAACATTATTTACCCAAATGCATGAATGAATTTCACACCAAAATCCGAGATTTGTTATCTTATATTTGATTGGTTCGTCCATAAATTCTAGTCTATCCAAAAAAATTCATTCATGTTTTACACTAATCTCATTCAATAATCTGTTATTGTTATGTGATTAGGTGAATTTAGATCTATACCCTGAATGTGTCAGATACCTAAACCGAAGTAGGTGGCCAGTGTGTGTGTGTGTGTGAAGTTCAAATCTGCAATAACTAATCACTGAACTATCAATTCATCACTCATAATAGTCTTGAACCTGTCATATCTTGAGATTGCGGACTCCATAGAACAGCAAATATCATATAATAGTATTTCAACAGTAATAATCTACACGTTTACGATGACATAGAGAAGATGGGACTTTCAGGATAGCTTTATGATTGTGAGACTGGTCTTCGAAATAAAGGATATTCATAGGTTGCTAATGTTCAATCATAGGTAGCTTCAAACCATTGCTCTTATATTTTGGGATCATAGATTAAACCCAAAGTACTAGGCAAGTGTGGCAAATCAATTGAAAATGTAGTGAATCTTTATCGACTGAAATAGTTGGGGCATATTATTACGTATCCCCATCCACTGACTACCTCGATGCGTAATGATTGCTGGCGTGAGAATAGGTTACAAGAAAGTTATGGGCGGTAAAACCAAAACATGATATTAATCAATGAAGAAGTTGGTTGTTAGAATGACCAATATCAATAGGTATAGAGTACCTGATTGAGGTCTACATAATCAATGACCAGAGATTTAGGGTGAAATGGTGAAGAAGATTTGCAGATCATGTGGATGATGTTGGGAAAGTTTCGTACTCTGAGACTGATAGTTTAGTCGTGGAGCTTTCACTATTCTTATGAACATCGTCATTACCATAAACTTTATGTAGAAGTGAAGTATTAGAATCTCTCTACATATGACTAACAGCCTATCCTATCAATCTTGATTGGTTATTGTTGATCCTTAACGTTTTATTGTCTGCTTCTTTATTTTAATTGTATCTCCCTTTGATCTGATTCTCCGCCTTATATTTATCCATGATCTGTCTAATTGTTTAATAAATTAGATTGATTCCTACATGTTGGTTGATTTGCATAATATGGCCCAAAATCACTCTTAATGGCTCAGATCCATTCACTCTTTGTCTTCTCTTTGACCAAAAGTTTCTAAATTACATTCTAAATGCTCTTTATTTTACGAATCCATATTTTCGTCTCGCATTAGATGTTCTATACCGTTTTTCTATTACCACTGATCCTGTTACGACTATCTCCACTACTGTGGGATTCACCCTGAGAATTTTATCTCATTGTACTAATGGGATTAACAACCCAATCCCGTCGAAAACAAACTTACTGAAAAATGCTAACCAGAATAAACCATTTAAACTCGGTCCTGGTAGTTGAAGGGTCTTCATTCAGAAGAATTATGACGCCTCATAATGAAAGCCGAGATTCTTCGGAAATCACAAGACCGATGCCCCTTCTAACAACCAGAGCAACAATTAACCTCGTACTTATCCTGATGGTTGACTTATTCTCCTCCACAAGGGATAACAGGCGTAAGTAATTAAATACTAATGAGATATGACAAGTAGAACTGATGTATAAACATATCACTTTCCATGTTGCTTAAGCCTAACTAAGTGACACAAGTCGGCACATACTTTTCTTTTTTTTTTTGAAAAAAAGCAGTAGACTAAGTATTTATTTTACCATAATTGAATACACAAATTTCTTTTTTTGTGAAATAATTGGCAGTGGTTATTTTCGTCAATAATAAACACTCTAGTCAATTAATAGGGAATGGGAACTTGGACCGATGCATATATATGCATGGTTCTACGTTATAGATGACTGACTGATTGGTCTAACTATCAATATAAGGAGAATTCATCGAAGAAGATTTTATTTTCGGCGAATGGATTTACTATTTGGAGCTGTGCATTCGTATTTATTATTATTTTGTACTTCTTTTAAACCATGATCAGTTACTAATATCCTTAAACAATTTTTCATGACTTCAGTTGTTAGTTATGACCTTTATGCTGTTCATTTCTTCTTCGTATTTGTCAAGTGGACAATTGTCTTTCATAATTCTAACCTGTAAATTATACTCACATCTTCCTATTCTTCTGTAACTAAGTGATTATTACGTAACCTCACTTCATATTCGGGAATCTTAAATCACTTTATGATGCCACCTTTTCTATCCTTCTATATACTTATACATTTTGATCAGAATGTGGGTTTGTGGAGATTGTAGTAATTTTAATAGCTGAATTCATAAGTCTATCTAAGCTGGACCATCATCGAAAACCTGGAAGCACTGGATGACCGTTTCGTCCTAGTATGGAACACCGCAGCAGTGCTCATCCACGATCCCACATGCAGGACTCGAACTCAGGGCCTTCAGTCTCGCTCACGAATGCTTAATCTCTACTTATACATTTACTAAATAACTATAAATATACGGATGTACAGCTTAAGTAAATGACTTCGTCGCTCAATTCTCTTTATATTCTATTCAGTAATTTAATGGGATGATATTAACTATTCATATCGTTCTCATATTTCTAGTTGTTTAATCATGAATCATTCAGTCCACAATCACCACCTTCATTATCATCAGTACCATCTCATGAATACTCTTATCAATCAGAATCCTATCGTCAATTATCTTCTAATTCAACATCTAATCTTATTCAACATAGTGATAACATGCAACATAATTATTCTATGAATTCACCTGTTCAATTGTCAAATTATCCATTGTCTTTACAATCAGATCAACCAATCAATTCAATGTTGCAATCATCATTAGCAGTTTCAACATCATCCTCATCATCATCGGTAACAACTACATTGAATGAAATGAATAATTCTATTTTTATGCCTATCAATTATCAAACTGATTCACAATTAATGATAAATAATGATAATAGTTCATTAAATTATTCTACATTATCTAATCAACAACCGTTTGATTATTTTGCAAATATTCAAAGTGTAAGTTTTTTTTTCTTTCGATTTGTATAATTTGATTTTGATTGATTAATTATTATTGAATACCTGGAAGCATTGGTCGTCTGTTTCGTCGTAGTATAGGACTCTTTAGCGGTGCGCATTCACGATCGGGCACGTGGGGCTCCAACTTTCGGTTTCATGCGCGAACTCTTAATCTTTAGACCACAGCCGGTATCCAACGGTGTTAATGTGCAACTTCAATTGGTCCATGATCTTTCGCAACCCTTTATCCATTGTTTGAGGTGGATAGCTGTTTCACATTCGACACGGATTGGACTCCACTGGTTCAAATCACGTGTGCATTACTGAGAAGTTGTATACTAGAAAGAAATGGTCGTCAAGTGCTTCCAGATTTTCAATGGTGATCTAGCTTAGATTGACTCGTGAACTCAACTGTTAAAATACTACAATCTCCACAAATCCCCATGTCGATATTATTGAGTAATTAAATTTATAATAATGTTGTGTTCTACTAGTTTTTTTATTTAATTATTTTGAATAGATTCAGTCACGTTCTCGTACAGTATCCGGTAATTCTGAAAGTAATACTGTTAATATGACAAATCCCACGACTGTTGATCAATTGGATTCAGTAAGTTTTCATCGTACTAACACTACTATTACTATGTGTATAACCATATTAGTAATTCTAATCATGTGTTTGTAGGCTGGGATACTGTATAGGAGTTCAGACAGAAGTTGGGGATTTTCCCAAGAGATCGTTCCTTGAGCCTTCAACGTGAAAATCTAGTCTATAAGATAGTAGAAAAACGTCATGGGATTCAATCCCATGGTACTCGATAACTAGCATAGTCTTGTGCTCGACTTGTTGTTTCACGAGTCAAAAGAACATGTATATCAGTATTTTTCAATTCTCCTAGGTCAGGGCTCTTTTATAACAATCCTGTTTAAGCACTGAACGTCCGCTTTTCATCCCCTTACTTTCGAAGAAATACCTCTACCATGTAAAGACAGTGAATTGGGACTCCTTTCGGAAAGAAGCTGTGCAGACGTCGGTATATGAAAAGATATTGAATGATATAGGCACCACCCAACACTGTTAAATGTCTCATACATATTAATGAGAAGACAATACAACTTATTCCAAAGTTTATTTTTGCAAAACCGCAATCGCGATCATCATGGATGGTTAAAGTAGATCATTTTCTCTCCATCTGTCATTTAAACAAATGAAAGCCAATTTCATTAAAATTCATGCATTGAAAGTTACATAATAGGGACAGAATTCTTTTTTTATGAACGTTCGCAGATAGGAAAGAATGAACATTTAGAAAACTATGTAGTCTATACAGTAAACATAAGAACTAGGTCTATAAAACTTATTTTACCATATTTGATATATACCAGTCTTATCTCTTTAAATATGTTCTACATTTCTATCGTTCCAAACATATTTGCAAAATCCTTAGCAGTCGACGTCTTTAATCTTATACCGGAATCATATGTACAGAGGATTTCCAAGTGATTAATCACTGAGTAGCTACCAACATTATAGTTGTCTAGTCCTTTAGTTCTTATCGATTTCCACTGTTGCGATGCGGCCACTAGTCTGAATGAATCAACATCATAGTCTCTGTGTTGAGATTTTAAGTGGCTAAAAAATAGTCATCAAGAAACCCTACTTGATCTAGGTTTCGTGGTAATTGACAATAAACACTAAGGTGTCCCTGTAATTTTGAAGAAGCTAATACTTCTCTTGGGAGTTTAAACCATGTTTACCTCATTTCGCAATATGAGGCATTATCACTGAACTATTCAGGCCGCGATTTCCCTTGTTCACTTCATTATCAAGCACTTATCTGAACTGTGAGTTGGATGTCAAAAAGCGCAAGTGGTTGTACACGCTTAGAATCTTGACAGCTCAGCTTATCGGTCTGTTCAACAGATTATGTAATAAGATATATATATGATAATACTTGGCTCACAAAGTGTTCTATTTAACCCACTTTTGTCTATTAATTCCTGCCATATATCGAGTGATATTTTGAATATAACTCATCCTCCCTCCCAAATGTTTTTGACTTACTGACTGATTTACAATGCTCTGGTACGGCCGAGAATGCGGAGAGTCAGCTCTCCCTCTAGAAATGCTTTCAAGTGGCCACGTGCATACATCCACTGACAAGGAAGCCCTATTCACTGCCTTCTCGCTACAAGGGTGTTGTTTACGAAATTGAGAGGACGAAAAGCGAATGTCTAGTGCTTTAACCGGGTTGGTGGATATGGAGAGTTGGTAAACCCTGATTCCAAACCAATAGTGCACATGGTCTCCAGTATCCTGAGTGAACAAATGGTTTATGAACCAATCATTGGCCACCGGCTACCATGGGATTTCATCTACTTACGATGCTCCACTGCCTTGCGGATTAGACCTTTAGGTCGGAGGCTTCGGGTGTGGCCCCCTAAGAAAACCACCTGTTTCGGTTTGGGAACCCTCGCAGTATCACAGCCCTCACACATATCAAATGAAATCTGTGTGGCGCATATGTATTTGGCGCCCCCTTGTACCATTTTTTATGTGTTTAAATAAACAAACTAAAACTGATCCCAAAGCCCATTTCGAAATGTAATTCAGTACTTTCCTCGGACCATTTAGAAATTGATTTTCAAGTAACAAAACTAAAGATTGATTCAGATATTCCTCAATCTAATGATGATAACTGTTTAAAATGCCTGTATTGTTGTCCTAGTAGGTACCTAAACTCTCTCTGTGTCAAAATACAATCCTCATTAAATTAAATTTTGTTTTATTTTTCTAATATTTCAGTCATCCAATAATAGTCAGAATTTCTTATCTACCAAATATGAAAATTCATTTACAAACGAACAACATTTTCAACAACCTCAAAAACAATCTATGTCTAATTTATCACAAATGAATTATCTTCCTCAACCTTCTAGACATCCATCTTCAATGATGAATGATCATTTCAAAGATTATAATAATACTCTTGCTACTACTACTACTTCCACTACTACTATTAATAATGATAATAATAGTAGTAGTGAACGTTTTACACAGGACAAATCAAGTGATTTGAATAATTTAGATAAAAATGAACAACAATCAAAAGTAATGATTTAGTTTGTTTGTTTCTTCGTCGTTTTAATCATTTTTGATATATATATATATATATATATATATATATATATATATATATATATATATATTTGATTGACATCATTAGATGGTGATTGGAGGTAGTCGACAGGATACACTGGACCCGGGTTTCGTGCTAATTGGCACTCGTCAGCAAGGTGTACCTGTAATCTTGAGGGAACTGATGCTCCATGGGAGATTCGATCTCGTGTCATCCAGCTTCACACTCAGAGATGTTACCACTGAGCTATCCGAGCCGCGACCGACCTCCTGTAGGACTGAGATGTAATCACAATTGATTGATCACTGGGTGGTGATCAATGTCATGCGTGTCTAGTCGTTATTAGTGCAGATCGAATGCTATGGATCATGATTGACATAATTTCCTCTAATGATTTGTTAAGAAGGTGGTTTAGACCTTTTATTTCCAGTCACCAAGTTATTGGTCCGAACTCCGTTCAGTCTATTTTAATAAATTCATTGGATGTCAATTTAGTGGTATAACAAAAAGGAGTGCTCGTTACAATATTTAGATGTCCTAGGTGCAATCCACGATGTGTTCATGATTGTGCAATTCTAAAGAGATCCTAAACCTAGAATTAGTCTCTAACTGAAATATAAAATATAAGTGATAAGGTTTCTCTTGGAATACTTTTTTTTTGTCACAAAATGAGATGCTAGACTTCCATTTAATTCAGATGACACTTTACTCCAAGCTTCATAGTTCCACGCATTACGGTCAAGTAAACAAGCTTTGAGTTTACATCACATGTAAATAACCAGATATCTGATGCAAATTTATGTCATCCGTTCAAGTTACTCACAATTACTCACATTAAACACTATCCATTCTATACTATGGTTAGTTTGAAATGAATTCATCCTATATTGATGATAAATTGTTAGTTTTATAATTAATAATAACCGTCTTAATGTCATTAAGGCTGGCGAATTATATTTACAGTATGACGATTGACTGAACAGTAGATCAAAGATCCAACCTTCGTTTCATTTGTTCTAGTTTAACCGTTCACATAGTATTACTAGAATTTACACAATAAGTGTAGATCAAAGACGAGCATATAAAGACGTTTCTTAGAAAAACGAATGACAAGCAAACAGTAATTCACATTCAAATAACAAGTTGAAATTTGAATTTGTTCTTTCGATCATTTAGTATACTTACCGTTTATGCAATCACTTGATTTGTAGTCAGGTTTTTCTTTCTAGATCACTGAAATGTATCATTTCATTAGAAATCAAACAAAATACCATACCATGATAAGTGTCAGATATCTATATACATACCGACCACCGACTGCCTCGATATGCGATGTTTTGTTGTATAGGAGTAGATTGGAAGAAAGCTAGGGGCGGCCAGACCAAAACATGGCACAAGTCCATGAAATCACTGACAAGTGGACTGAGTCATGTTGGTAGGTGTAGACTACCTGGTTGGGGACTGCGAGATGATAGCAACCGATGGTTAGAGACCCTGAATGACATGGCTCAAAATCGTTTGCAATGGTGCAGGTGCATCCACTCTTTGTGTTCTTCCAAATTCTAATCTTCTGAATTCTTCATGTCCCTTTCTTTTTTCTTTTCCTACATTTATTTCACTGATTATACTCTTTGAATAACACCTTCAAACCCTAATTTTTGTGATTACAGCTTATAATTTTACTACATCTAGCACTACGGGATTTTAATCGACCACTGCATCTCTGTGCTAATGTGGTGTGGCAACTCGAACTAATGTACGTACGTACGAAGTTCTACGTTGTTACTGACTGACTGATATACATACTTTTAGTCCCACTATTTTAACCCTCCTCTAAGATGTGCTCATCAAAATAACCTATTCGTCTATTATTCAGTTAGTTTAAAAGCTATTAGCTCTTTAATCAACAGTTTAACTATTTTGATGAAGCTCAGTGACATAACAGTGCATTCCTTTGAAAAATTACCTTGGTTTATACTGCTTCATAGATTTATGCTTACGGCTGATTTGAAATGTCTACCTTGATCAACATTATTTGATCTAAAGTAGATTTTATTGTACTAAGTGTATATGTGTGTGAGAGGGACTTAACCAAGTACACTAATCTATTACTATTATTATTACCTTTATTCAATATTATCATGTTTATGACAGTAAAATAATAATGATATCTTACTTTAGAATGGGGGTTTGTGGAGATTATAGTGATTTTAATAGTTGAATTCATGGGTCGATATAAGCTAGACCGCCATTGAAAACATATTAGGACGAAAAGGCTGTCTACTATTTCCAGGTTTACAATGGTGGTCTAGTTTAAATCGACTCATGAATTCAACTATTAAAATAATATCCTAATCGGTAGTAGATTGGGTTTCTGACATTTCTCATTTTTAAAGAATACATTACGTATGCTCAATCGCACTGTTTATGTTAACCCTTTGATTTTGGTTGGTATAAAAGCAGAAGGTTGAAAGTAAGCTTCGTTCAACCAAACCAAGATGTGATATCACTTCACGAAATCATTAACTGCTAGTCTGAACTGTGTTGTTAAGTATAAGCTACCCAATGTCAATCTGTACGATTATTGTAATTAGTTTTAGGAAACTGTGTAACGTTGCTGAGAATCGATCACAATCATACGAATGTATTTACTCTTTGTATTTCCTTAGGTTTTGAGTTTCAAAGTTAACTTAAATTGTTCCTATTCCATAAATTTACCTCTTCTTCTCGAGGAGTATGGTCTATCCCTTATTTTTCCTATTACCTCTAATATTTGTCTTGATAATTTCTATTCACTGTAGTGTAACATTTCTAAACTGATCGGTATATTTGCTTACGATTAATTAAACGATCAACGACGAGGAGTCATAACTTAATTTCATAATTCCGTCGTATTCACCATAGAACCTGACATATACATACATCGATTCAGGTTTTCATACCATATTAACACAGAGAAGTAAAATTAATTCAAGATAAATCCCAGAGTAGTAGAAGTAGTAATAGTGTCAGTAGCCTCAGTAAGCGTAATAGAAAAATAAGAGAAAAAGTTAAAAGGAGATTTCAGCACTTAGATTCTAATGGATGACAAAGAGATGAACAATTCTGAGTCATATCCGTAACCAACTGGTCAAAACACGTGAACCCCAACCAGATAGTCTGCACCTACCTACAACGTATATATTCTTGTACACACATCTATTCAGAAGTATCATTGTACCTTTTTTCCGTGTCCAATGACATTCACATTAGTCTTGTTTGTATATATATATATCAGTAGATTCGTTTAAAGGCAAAGCAAAATCACAAATACCAGATTATGTAGTGATTTGTTTTACTTTACAGGATGGTTGGTTATCAGGTTGGTTTGGACGTCTCAAGAAAAATGGTCCAAAGAATGTTCATCTACCGGATGATTCTAAGCCTTCTGTAAGTTGTTGAGTCCTGATCGACTTTGTTTTTAGGTTTGCAATATATATGTGCATTATAATTATGTTAATAACCATGATTATTGTATACTACTCACTAACCAACCAATTGATCAGTGATATTCTACCCAAACACACACACATGCGCATACCTTTTCTGTTACTCCCTAATATTTATAACCCGTAAATTAGATTTCACCATAGTTTATTATTTTATATTAATCAAAATCACTTCTTGTTGCTGTGTTATTTAGTTTGTAGTTAACTTACACGCTTTTCTATGGATAATTTGTGAATTAGGCAGGATTTTTTCCCCATTTTTTTTTGAGTGTGAAACTATTTATGTTTCTAACACAAATTCATTTTTCATCTATTGATGATTCGTAGATTTGTTAACACAGTTTGTATTACAGAGACGAAATTATCATATGTAAACCAATAGTTTTATCATTAGTATAGGGAGTCTGTGAAGATTGTTAAAGTTTATAGTTTACACCATGAATGTAGTATAGTTTAAATAAATCATTAGAAACCAAGAAGCACTGGACAGTTGTTCTGCTATAGTGTGGAACTTCTTAGCAATGCTCATCTCATAATCTAACCGGGAATCAAACCAAGTACTTTTCAAACTTTACAATGAACGCTTAACCTATAGATCAGTAAGTTGGTATCTAATGGTTTATCTAGAAGTCACATACTAGAACGATATAGCTGCCCAGCGCTATCTAGTTTTCACTAAAAGTCTAACTAAAATCATATTATACTGTAAATATCTGACTGATATAATTCGGTCAACGCATTAATGGTTAAACAACTTAACTGGCCTAATATAATTATAGTTAGTTTAATCAACTGATAAAGTTGCTTTAGTGAATCGAATCATCAAGACATCGTTGATTGGTAACTTTTATTACATTTTACCAATAAATTCCTGATCAGTGTATAACATATGTCTTCATAATCTTATAATTAACACTCATAAACTTAATACTTCCAAAAAAATACAACCTTATCCCCTGAACTTGATAGTTTAGTAACGGGCTATTCGTAATTCCATTTTAAAAACATCCCTCATCCGTTCAACAATCTCTCTGTCCCCAAATGCCCTGGTACGGCTGAGAGTGGGGAAAGTTCGCTCTCCCTCTCGAAATGCTCTCACATGGCCACGCGTATATAGTCTCTGCCAGGGAAGTCCTACTCACTGCCTTCTCGTGGCGGGGGTGTTATTTACAAAAATGAGAGAACGAAAAGAGAATGTCCGGCGCTTTAACCGGATCCCAAACTGATGGTGCACATGGGCTCCAGTATCCTGCGGGAACAAATGGCGTATGAACCAATTGTTGGTCACCGGCTACCATGGGACTGCATCTCCTTACGATGCTCTACTGCCTTGTGGGTTAGACCTTCAGGTCGAAGGCTCGGGGAGTGGCCTTCTAAGAAAACCACCTGCTTCGGTTTGGGCACCCGGGTAGTATCACAACCCTCACACATATCGAACGAGATTTGTGTGGCGCATATGTATCTGGTGCTTCCTTGTACCAATATCTATGTGTTAAAACAAATAAATAAATAATTCTGACTGACTGATCCACTTTTTTCAAAGTCGCCTGTATAGTTTAGTTTTACTAACAAATTTATACGTCTCCTAACAACTCAATTCTATAACTGAATGAAATAAACATTCTCAATAGTTGAAATCATGAGCCAATTGAAGCTAGACCACCATGTAAAACCTCGAAGCACTGGACCACCGTTTCATCCTATTGTGGGACTCCTCAGCAGTGCACATCCATGACCTCGCCCCCCTGCGAGTTTCGAACCCAGGACCTACTGGTTTCGCGCGTAAATTCTTAGTTCATAGACTGCTGAACCTGGATCCAATGAGAAATCTGTGACCTATCCAAAGTCCTACATTGACAATTAGCATGCGATTAGTAGTGACGAACTTCAGTATGCGATTCCTGGAGTCCTAGCAAGAAGCCATGAATAATAGTAGGGTTCGATCATGTCAAGTGTGAGATAGTTATCTACAGCAGGCAATGAACTATGATCGCACAATATCGTGAATAAAGTTAGATATGTATACCGTCGAATGCCGGCTCAGTAATGTAGAGGTTAGCGTTCACGCATGAAATGGAAGGTTCTGAATTCGATTCCCTATGACGGAATCGTGGATACGCATTGTTGAGGAGTCCCATACTTGGGCGAAATAGTGCTCCCAGGTTTTGAATGGTGGTCTTACTGAGGTCAGTTTGTGATCCAAAGACTATAGGAAATTTAATACCATTAATAGCAATTGTTTACTGATAGTTGTTTAATCGTATTGTTTCACTTGAGTATAACCATCTTTTCCAAGTTTGTCTCACTGTCTTTTTACGGGTTATGTATATTTTACAATTATAGATAGTTTGGGATGATCGCCTTAAACAATGGATTGATGTGAATGATCCTGACGGAAATGAATCAAACAAGGTACCACCACCTCCACCAGCATCTTCATTTATTATGCCAAAAAATGATGACAGTTCAATGAGTAATAGTAGTAGTAGTAATAATATTAATAATAATAGTACACTGAATCCACCTCTGTTTCCTACTTATCATCCAGTCTCTGTTCCTTCAGGGTCTATTTCATCACGTACTAGCAATTCTCGGTCACGTTATGTAAATATATTGGCTAGTGATACTTTAGAATCAGGAGCAAATAAATTGATCAATCCACTTCAACCCCCACTTCCACAAACAATTAACAATTCACGTTCATAAAACTAATGAAATCTTTCACATTTGTGTGTAATCATTCTGTTTATCTTCTTCATAAACTATTCTATCTATTAGGTAGGTAAAATCTTATATATTTGTGGTATGTATAATCCCTATTTGTGATTATTATCATTAATCTTAACCATTTTGTATATTGTAATGTGGTTGTTTTTACTTTGCGCTTTATCTCTCTCCTCCTCTCTCTATCCATCGTTAACTAACAATGAAATGTAAGTCTCTACGGTCAAATTCATTTTTCATATGATTAGAGATGTATGTATCAGTACCTTAGAGCCCGCTATAAATGTTCATAGAAGTAAGTTGGTACATAAAATCTTTACAGTAATCGCTAAAAACGTGATTAGATATAAAAATGCTTTGAAAAAGTAGAGCTAATTATAAAGTATTGTTAAAACTGAGGATCTTAAAGGAAAATTAAAAGTGAATTACATATGCTTCATTGAGATTGCTTCTAAAGTATTTCATACCAACGTTTCAAATCACTGATCACTTTTATTGCCCGGATCCCAAATAAATGATGTGTCCCTATCGAAATACCTCAAAACAACGGTCACAGATTTACATGACGTTCTAGTCTGATCACTCCTTGCTTCTTTCCAACCTACTTCTACCCGAGCGAACATTTTGTGCGTTAAAGCAAGCAGTAGCTTGGCCTATGGTATAATCCACATCCCAACCAACCTAGTCGATAAAAGTCCAAAAACTCTTCATCCGATTTGCTATATTTGCCTAGCACCTTGCATCTAACCTCGACACTCTTCACTCGGCAATGTGTACAACTTGGAGATTGCTGTTACGCTGGAATTAATCGTAATATTTAGGTCCATATAGGTATCACTGTAGGTCTTCCATACAGATTTCCACTTGTTCATTTTTCAGCTATGTTCAATATACTTACCGTGAAACCGGAACCTGCTTCCTTTCGCTTTGAACACCAACCTTGAGATACAGGTACATCCATCTGGATCTTACATAACATGAAACACATTCTTTGAATAAACTGCTAACCACGACCAAAGTTTGCTAAAATTTGTAACTACACGCAATCTGCTGAGGATACGCAGATTCCAGTAGAGGCTGGAAGTCCTTGTTATCAACAAGAGGGAAACTTATATGCTTACATATATCCATGATGCTCTAATCATGTTCAGTTTTATATTGTCAGTTTGCTTTCTCACTATGCTTTAATGCATAAATTATGACATCTTAAACTAATGCATATTTATGCCCAGATATGTCACTATCTATGACTCTGCCTCATTCTATTTATTGACATTTGCTAAGTGCATAACTGTTTATTGGGCTTTTTGTATACTGACTAGACTTATTAGTTGAAATACTCGATTTTGCTGGTGCACATATATCGGTAGAATAATAGCCAATTACATAAATCTGTTCTATGCAAAAATGAGTTATCCGTTCGAATTCATTAAGTTCAACAACAATTCATCCGTTATGATCAAGCCTTTTGTTTTGTATGGTATAAAGAACCTTTCTGCTTGAATATCAATCAGTCAGTTTATACCCAGCGTAGAACTTGGCTTCTATGTACAACACGTTCAAGTTACTACAACTCATTAACATAATCAAATGAGGTTGTCAAGGTAAATCTCAGAGAAGTATGGGTAATAACAGTATTAGTGGGAATAGAAAAGATTAAGCATAGATGATATGATTCGAGAAAGAAAAATATGGATTAGTGGAATTTTAAAAGAATTAAAAGGTAATTTTGGGAGATAAGAATTGGAGAACAAAGAGCGAATGAGCCTATATCATTGTAGACGATTTTGAATTGTCACCTAGATTCTCAACATTCGGTTATACTAATCACACGGACTACAACCTAATCGTTTGTAATTACCTACATGATCAAGTAATAAATAACAGTTTTTCAGTATGGGATTATGGAGATTGTTAGACTTCGTTGAGATCATGAACCGATCTATGTTGAACAATCATTGGAAACGTGAAAGCACTGGACAGTAGTTTCGTCCTAGTATTAGACTCCTGAGCAGTGTATATTCATAACCACACAACCGTGTTGGATGTAAGGATGGTACTCACTGTATGCAATGAAAAATGGTCGCACAATTTCATGAACTGGTTTAAATTGAACTCCAGTTCATTACTTACTTACGCCTGTTACTCCCAATGGAGCATAGGCCGCTGATCAGCATTCTCCAACCCATTCTGTCCTGGGCCTTCTTTTCTAGTTCCATCCAATTCTTGTTCATTTTTCTCATGTCTATTTCCATTTCTTGGCGTAATGTGTTCTTTGGTCTTCCTCTTTTCCTTTGGCCTTGAGGATTCCATATGAGGGCTTGTCTTGTGACGTAGTTGGGTGCTTTCCTCAATGTGTGTCCTATCCACTTCCAACGCTTCTTCCTGATTTCTTCCTCCGCTGGGATCTGGTTTGTTCTCTCCCATAGCAACAACGTACTGTGGGAGAGTCTAGTTAAAATATCACTGAAAAATTAATCCACGTTCCTTTTCTTTTTCAGCAATTACCCTCCAGCAAACTGTTGTATTCATAATATTACACCATGAATCATATGTATGTACATGCATGGATCCACATGGAACTCAGTGAATCTTGTTCTCTCCCAATTAAAAAAAGAGGAGTTTTCAAAGCACAATTCTAAGTATTACATGAACCAGTGGGGAATATAATACATTTTAATGTAGAAAATAACAATTTCTTAATACAAAAATGAATTTTCCCTTTATCTCTTCCATTTGAGAAAAATAATTAATTATATAATTTAAATACTATTGACTTCTTTGATTAGTTATTATTTCCCATTCGGTTTCTTTTTAATTTCTCGAAGGTTGTTGTTACTAAGCTCTTTTCTTCTTCTTCTTCTACTCTGGAATTTAAACTATTTTCGCCGCCCCCCTCCTTCCACATTTGGTTACAGCTCATCACTTTAATAATATTATTATTTAAATTGCACACAATGATCCCTTAATCTGTGATGTTGTTGATAATGATCATATTTCATGTTCATACTATCTTGTGTCTTTTTTTCCTTTCTTTCTTCGCTTTCTTGTTTGTCTTTTGTTGAACATTTTGTTCAGTTGGCAATATTGATTAAATTCTTCCTTCATTCCCATCCCCCCATCTTCATCTTATTATTTTGGCAATCTCTGTTTATTTTAGTTAATTTTGATGCAAGAATGCTCTAAGATTGAAAACAAAAGTACACACATACACACAGTGACAAAAGTGTTTTTTCTTTATTTCCCCTATTTTTAACCCGTATTTCTTTTGGTGTATATGTGTTGTGTGTAAAAATCATAAATACACATGGCTAAATATAAGTTTCTCTTTAAGGGTGATTTATTGTCGATATTGTGTAAATATCCGATATTATTATTGTTGTTCAGACTTTATTGTATACCACTTACGTGTTAATTAGATATAGTACCTGAATCGTGGTGTTATTGTTTATATTTTGAGTATGGAACCTAACACCTTAAGCTAATATTATCACCATTATCTTACTTAGCAGTAGGCTATTTGGTTTTAAGTCTCCATGTGTGAATATCAAAACTAGTTTGTGTAAATCAGACAAAACTCGCGTTCTGTACTAACCATTATTACAAAAATATCACAAACCTGTAGCCAAAAGGATAGGTCGTATCGAGGCATCTGTAAACAATAAGATTTTCAGTGTGTTAGGTTGAGGCTGGATCATGAAGGTACTTAAATGTTTGTATTGTTCCCAAATGCCCTGGTACGCCCGAGAGTGGGGAAAGTCAGCTCTTTCATATGGCCATGTGCATACAACCACTGACAGGGAAGTCCTACCCACTGCCTTCTCGCAACACGAGTGTCGTTTACGAAATTCAGAGGACAAAAAGCGAATGTCTGGCGCTCTAACCGGGTTGGTGGACACGGAGAGTTGGAAAACCCTGATTCCAAACCAATGGTGTGCATGAGATCCAGAGGGAACAGATGTATGGACCAACCGTCGGTCACCTGCTACCATGGGACTGCATCTCCTAATGTTGCTCCACTGCATTGTGGATTGAGTTTTTATGTCAAAGGCTCGGGGTGTGGCCCCCCTGAGAAAGCCACCAGCTCCGGTTTGGATGTGCGGGCAGTATCGCAGCCATCACACAAATCGAACGACGAAGTGTGGCACATCTATTTTGTGCCTCTTTGTACCAATATTTATGTGTTTGAAGAAATAAATGTTTCTATTGCTTATTTCCATTTGTTTAACGATAGGACAGATTATACATTTGTACTGTAATTAGATCACTTAACAACATAAGTGAGAATGTTCAGTAGGGAAACATTGTCTGTTTCTAGCACAAATCAATCATAATTCATACTCAGATACTGCAGCCGCATTCGACTACTGATTTATATTACCTCCTATCCGGTATCTAGCTCTGAGGTACATTTTATGTAGGACGACTAATCGGCTGTTCGATTTGAAAGGTGTGCAACGCGGTTAAGTGATTTGACGGCTAAATCACTTTAGGACCATTTCTACGTAAGATGGGGGTTTATATTTTAGCAGCGATAGCGGTGCAAACTCAGCAATTATTTCGTAAGAACATCTTGTCCTGATGAGATATTAAAAGAAATTCTTTGCGAAACTATGATGTGCAGTAAAAATATCCCTATGTAGCATACAATAATAACAATACAATCGCGCTATTAGTAATCGAAAAAAAAATGGAAACTTCGTATTGTGATCGACATTTAACGGAATTGTGGATGATGCGTTAAAGCGGTAGTTACTAAAAAGAAGGTCATATCCTAAGGAACACTTCCATAGTAACATACATCTTGAAACCGGTTCCGTTTAATAGGTGGGTAAAGAAGTGAAAAATGATACCTAAGAGAAAAATCACTGGAACTTAACTCGTTAGGTAGAAAATATCAAGAATACTTTAAAGGTAGCAGTTGCATCCTACGTTTGTCGCTGTATACTGCTTGGGCATTCTACCACCTTACATAATGCAGTTTATATCAGCACACAACACTATATTATCCAAAGCTAGGAAGCATTAAATACCAGGAACCACTCCTTTTCTTTACTGGTAAAAACCTAAATGATTGATAAAAATCACTATCGTTATAGTGACAAAGAATCAACTAGGGGAACGTTAATAGCGACGACTAATTACGACTGATATTAACAGGGATAATAAAGCAAAACTAGTAGCATTCATTTCCTGATAGATTATGAGGAAGACAATAGTGTGGTACCATTCATATTCACTAATTCTTACAATTACTACCCAATGCACGTGTGTATAGATAATAACCTTAATTTCCAGCTTATGTACACCATTCACATGGGTATTTATTATTGCAATAGTGTAGCTTCTAATTAACGTTGCTTTGTGCACGTATAATCTTCACACACTGGTCTGAGACAAATGTTATAAGCAGTGTTAGCTTGAATGGTTTAGGAAATCTTAACTATACGAGTTTTGTTTAGTGACACAAACTGTCACTAAAAAAATCCTTCACGTTGACCCAACTTTATAACACAAAACATAACCCTGTATAACACACAGTAAAAACGTATACCAACAGTTTATAAGGAACTTCTTAATTACAACATTGATATTAGAATAACACATGCTTCTCAGACATTCAATAAATCTACGAATCACGTCCTAAATAATTTTAGACTCAGATGCACCTGTATTTTTTTTTCGAATGAATACACTTGATTCCATGCTCTTTACGAAGATCACATTATGAAGTGGCTAGTTTACATGAATGTGCAGATATTTCACAACCAACCATAACAACCACATGCCGAAAATGTCGGATAACTTACTTTTGTTTCAAAGTGCATGTTTGATAAATAAATCATCAAAGATAATAGGAACTTGATAGTATATAACTTTTAGTAAGAAATGTAGTCAGAGCGTCTACATACAATAAAGCTCACTGGGGCCAATTTCGAGTCACATTGGAAAAGAGCCAGGAAATACTAAGTCTTCACTTCGTCAGAAAAGAAAACTAAGAACGATATTCAACTAAGTATCCTGAACATTGGATCGGTACCCGATAAACATGAACTTATAAGCACTTGGGACTAAGTCTAAAGCAGGTTAAATCGGTGCAAGCCCATACCCTGATACGTAAGTTTCAAGTTAGCTTGTCAAATAAACCTTACCAGCAAAAGTAAAACGGAACCAATTGTCACTTAATAAAAGATACAGGTATGATCAATATTATTATTTAATCGACAGACAGCTTGTGTTGTTCATGTATGATGATGACAATAGTAACACTAAATACACTGATAACTTCAGGACTGCCATCGCTGTCATAAGTTTAATGTTTTCAAATAAACCCTAGCATTTGGCGAAATATTGCAAAATTAATATAAGGACCGATAACTTAGGTGTAAAGTCAACGCAACCAAAGGCAGCTTACTTAAGATGACATGCTTTCGGTTTATTATCGGTTGTGAGGCTATAGTAGACCAATAACAACTTTGAACGACTCTCTGAACAGTGGTTATCTCAAGGCGAGAAACCATCAGTAATTCTAACGTCAATCCCGCTCATCTAAGCTCTTCATTTACTCTCATCGCACTTTCGCTCATCTCAGATTTTTGTTCGAAGCCATACCGCTACTTTCAGTCCTTGCTAAGGAACATTTTCAAGTAACTGTCGAGCTATTTCTCGGCCAAATACAATCCTTCAGATCATCATGAAATCGGTCATGAATGTGATTCGCCAAACCCGAGTAAAAAAGTAACCCACTTAAAGAGAGCATCTATTGAAATAAAGCAGATGGCGAAACATCTCGCTAATCAGCTTCAAGTGTCAAGAACATATCTATAATTTCCACATCACCACCGAAATATTTAGCTGTATGTCGAGGACAACTTTTCTGAATATTCAATACAAATAATGTAAATTTGATATAGCATAGGTGAGTCACACCAAGATAGCACCATATTAGTGAGCTTCTGTATAACTTTAAAACTAGTTAAAACCTATCACGAAATCAGTATAAAATTATGAAAATAATCATCCACGTTGAGGTTACAAGCAAGTGCACACGGGACAACAAGATTCTAGCTTTTCTTCACGGCATTGGTTGCAATGAATTACTACTAGAATTGGGAGAAACACAACCTCCTTGAAAGTTTGCGGACAGATAAAATGGAATCAAGGATAGATTAATCCTTATCTAGTAACGTAATTAATAGTTCATTGAGTGATTACTATATGCTTGATACTGAAAACGACTACACAGGCGAAATATTACCATGCAAAAACCAACTGAGATGAACATTTGATGCGTAGGTAACACAAATGAATAGCATATTCATGTACTAACAATATTGTGGTTCAAGGCGTTAATTAATTTTAATAACTCAACACATGAAATACGAAGGAAAATTTATTCCACAAAATAATAAGCTTGTCACATATCCATTAACGCTTTCCACCAACTCTAGGAGCAGCCTTCTGAGTGATCTTAGTAGCTTTTTGTTTTGAAGGAGCTACTTGAGGCTTTTTCTTTTCGACTTTTTTCACCTTCTTCTCCATTTCTTTTTGCTTTTGTTTTTCTTTAGCTGCACTAAATTAAGGTTGGACTCGGAAAAAACTAACATACCGTATGGCTTGGTCACGCATCGCTTTACGAACTTCTGGTTTTTGATTACGTTTAGCCATGATTTCAGCCAAACTTGCCCCTGCAATACCTCGAGCACTCTTAGTTACACGTTTTGTTCGCTTTTTTACTAGTTCTTCACTTATACCTTTTTTGTACTTCCTTCGGTAGAGCACCGTCCAGCTTATCTCACGCGGATTACGCTTTAAAAAATGAGACCGTTCACATTTCTTGTTTATGAAGTAGAACCCACGACCGTCGATGCGTACAGCGCGTTTTCCGTGTCCCGGATAAACTTTAAAACCGCTGTAGGAACAAACTTCCAACCTAAAGTTACAATGGTTGATTAATATAAACATGAGCTTGGTGGGTATAAAATGTTACATGAAACATCTACTACAAACTGATTAGCATTAACCGCAGAAATAAAAAAAAGGCGAAACCCCATCACATCAGTTTGAATAGTTTATCAAGCTGCAAGCCTAGAAAACAGTATACTGAACATCTAGCTTATTGCAAACTTCTAACAAGAATCAGTGATTAACGCAAAAGAATAAAGCATGTTGATGAGGACGATCTGTTTCCATTTGGGAAGAACTTTCCTGCAAACATAACAACTGAGTATTTATGCAGCGACTAATATCTATATCGATCAAGTTTAAACAGCAGTGACACAAGGACACATAGTAGCTCACAAGACAATCATTATGACAAATACCCATT